ACTTTTCTAATACTAATGCCAAAGTATTAAATTAATTTTTTAATTCTAACCCAAGAGCATTAAGTTAAATTTTTAACCCTAATGCAAAAGTATTAGCATTTTCCTAATACTAATGCTAAGCCAACACCCCTACTCTGCCTTGTACTATCACTTACCACAAGAGCTACAAATAAATAAATCACTTTCTTTCTCATCATTATTTGAATGATTTAAATTAGATGGTGCGCAGTCAACACAATTAAGTACTATTCCACCTCTACCACCCTGTACATCATCACAATCAAGTCAAAATAAACAAGAAATACCAATAATTGAGGATACAGATCAAAAATTGACCAAGATAATGGATGGTATTCAATCATTGCAAGATCGCATATCAAACATCCAAGAAGGAATGCATAAAACAACACGACTAACATTGCCGCCTATTCAAATAAATAACATACAGCAACAAATACAGTACTCCCGACCAGTACCAATGCTACCACAACAGCAGTTGCCACCAATAATGTCTGGTAACCAGGCACCATCAGCACATTGGTGCCCACAAACGCACTGGCAGCCACAATCATTAGTGCAGTACCCACTACCATGTTACCAGCCACCATGTTATCTACCACCCTATTATCAACCACCATATTATCAGCCACCCTATTATCAACCACCATATTATCAGCCACCATATTATCAGCCACTCTATAATCAACCACCATATTATCAGCCACCAACAATACAATTCATACAGTACAACTACCAACCACAACAACGCTTCTTTTAGATAATATCTGTATCCTTCAGGCATAGCTTTTTAATGGAACATTCGACTCAGGACATACAAGAAATGAAATTATTTTATAAACACAGCCCATTTAATCTACATTGTTATTTTTTCGAGAATTCTATAAAATGTAAACACGAGTAAATCACATTAAATTCATTCAATCTTGCGTGTGGGTGTGGGTGTGGGTGTGGGTGGGTGTGGGTATGGTGGGTGTGGGTGTCCGTGGAGTGAATTTCTATCCACACCCACATCCACACCCACATCCACACCCACACCCACACCCACACCCACTTCCACACCACATCCAAGAATTTTATTTAGAAAATAATGATTTCCAAAAAAATGAATTTATAGTTATCTGAAAGATGAAGCTGATGATGAGCAGGATGGTTCGCGACCATCACCTGATGGAGAACGATATATGAAATAATTATCACAGTTTGGTATATATACAATGTGATGATCTTGTTTAGTAAATCGAAGGATGCATTGACGAGGATATATTCGTTTTCAATGTTTTATACAGATGGAAAAAAGGATTACAAGAAAAGAAAGAAGACATACGAGAAAAAAATGAATAAATAAAGAAAAATGTTTAAGTGCCGTCTGATTATTGTGGAAACCAATCAATCCTTCTATTCCAATTCAATTTGCTGCTTCACCTCTTCGGTCATAATGTAAGGTAGCGAAAATGCAGAATTTCCATAAAATTTTTTTTTCGTTCATTTATATATGGTTTGATAGAGCTTGAAAAGCTGATCACGAATATATATTTTTTATTTCGATTCGATCACTGTTTGGCTGAGAAACGCGCTAAAAAAGTCGAATGACTACAAATGTCATATATGCAGGTTTATAGCGCTTCTGTCAC